TTTTACATCTGTGTGTGAAAGTTCATGCCGCTTGCATTCTTTTGACCAGTAGAAGCACTTATCGCCATGCTTGCACACTGATGAGGTTTCACTTCTGTATGGATCACTTCATGCCTCTTGCAATGAGATGACAACCTAAAACACTTATCACAATACTTGCACTGATAATTGAGGAAGAGTTAAAGCACTTTTTGACAATATTGACACTGATAGGGTTTTGCTCCAGTGTGAATGAGTTCATGTTTGTTGCGGTCATCTGACTGAGTGAAGCACTTGTCACAAAACTTGCACTTGTATGGTTTTACTCCTGTGTGTGTAAGTTCATGCTGATTCCGACACGCTGGCATTCGAAAGAACATATTACAATAATTACACTTGTGTGGTTTTACTCCAGAATGTGTAAGTTCATGCCGATTGCGAAGTGATCACAAGCGAAAGAACTTGTCACAGTACTTGCACTTGTGTGGTTTTACTCCTGAATGTATAAGTTCATGCAGATTGCAATCTGATGACAAGCCAAAGAACTTGTCACAATAATTGCATTTATGAGGTTTCACTCCTGTGTGAATTACTTCATGTCGATTCCTGGTTGATGACCTATTAATTGAAAGCACTTATCACAATACCTAACCTTGTAGGGTTTCTCTCCATTGTGAATCAGTTCATGTTGTCTACAAACGGCTTCCTTGGTACTTATCGCAGTAACTACACTTAAACGGTCTCACCTCGTCACAGGTGCCTTGTCGTGTTAAATTATCAATTTGTCTTGGCTTGTTGATGTTTTCGTCTTCCTCTGTTTCCATCCTGAATCTGGCAAATTACAGATAATTTGATATCTTGAGGTAGTCCTTGCCTTTATCTCCCTTAAAAAAAGTTCCCATCATTCTTAAAATGAGAAATAAAAACACAATGTAGTTACCCAAACGGTTATGCATAAAACAAATACTACTTGTCTTTTGCCTCATACAATATTAAACCAGCACCCACATGATTTACACGTCATTCAATCTCCTAAAGAGCAGTGAATGGTTCTGAAAAGAGAAATATTTTTTCAATCCTTCTTTCAAATTCAGGAGAAAAAATTACCCAATAGACCTTATTCACAATTATTGCCATCTTTACATACGCTTTTTAGGATTGATGGAATAAAAGTATATGTCACAATACCAGCAATCGCCGTCACGTTTGTTTATTCTCTCAAAACAGGACAACTATAATTTTAGTCACACATGTACAAAGTTTACAGTTTGAGTTTTGACAAGGTTTACTGCTCGCTGTGAGGATATCTCACTAGTAACAGTAGCTACTGCACCCAAAAAAAGTGACAATGAGCACTTTCACCCATAATTTACCATAACTGTCTTTAAAATATAAATATGTTCATCATTAGTCATTTTCTGTTCTATAGAATAAACAAACTTGACCACGATTTCTTGAACTGGCAGATTTTTCCAGTTGTCTGCCCACTGAGAAACCACATGTCAATGCTTTTAGTCCCATCAGTCCTAAAGTGAATGCAAAGATGGCAGTATGGTGAATAAGGTCTATTGCAAAGAACACTGTATGTCAGTTTTGTTTTGTTTTTTTCAGGACAAATCACAAAAGCCTACATGAATGTTACATGTAGGCAACTGGCATTATTATTTTCATGTGCTCAAGGGTAGGAATAATCACGCCAACTGGTGGGTCAAGAACAGTAGTGGCATCAAAGCCAAACACACTTCCCACTGTGATTTGTTATGGAAATTTTGATGACTGCGGGACTGTACAGGGCCCGGTTCCCAAAAGGCCGATTAGCGCTAATCCAGGATTAAAATTTTGTTGCACTTTTTGTATTTACTTTCCTATGCATTGCTTAGAGTAACAATTTTGTGTTATCATTACTGTATCTCAGAGTAAAGACTCAACAGTATTTTGAAAGCTTGCGTTACATGTTCTTAGACGAGACCCCCCTGCTTAAAATTTGGCTTAATCACGGGATTAACCTTAATCATCTTTCGAGGAACTGGGCCCAGATATACATTTTAAAGTTGCTGGGTATTCTGAGGTTTAGCCTTAAGCTTTAGTAATGAGCTTCGTTCAAGTAGCCTGCGTGCAGTTGTCTCCTTTTTCCTTTGTTGCTCTCGGAAAACGGACGACAACAAAGAAAATAGGACAACACCCTGCACCATGAATAATCTATTATCCATGCCTGCACACAGGCTAAATTCAAAGCAAAGTAGTTTAAATTTGCTATTATGATGTTTGAGAAGGCAGATAGTTACCTTTATATAGAATTTATATAGAAGATCTGGAAATTCCCTGAAGCGATAATATAGAATAAACAACTACAAACAGCGAAGAAGAAAAAGTCAAACAAGGACAACCACATTGACAACCAAACTCGCCGCCATTTTGATTACTGGAGCCCAGTCTGTGACAATTGTCAGTCTGTGTATGATCGTCCCATAAGACTGGGCACTAGTAATCAATATGGCGGCAACTTCACCGATCTGACTGCTTTTCTTCTTCGGTTCTTTGAAGGTGTTACCGTTCGAGGACATGTTTCGATCTTCTCTCTGAAGGTAAGAATAAGTCTCCCAGAACATATCAGCAACGTGTTATGTAATTTTTCTTGAATACTATAAATAGATATCTAAGTAAATTCTTCTTTCAAATTAAAACTTAATAAGTTCAGCTGTAACTTACATGTACCATTGTTCAATATACTGTTGTATTAAAATATTATAATTGATGGAAGCAATAAAGTTAAAGTTAAAGGTAAACAGTTCATTTGTCAGGTGAGATACAGATCTGTCCTTGCAAGGGAACAAACTGGTTAGGCATAAAAAAGAACAAATTAAAAAGTGGTAATAACAACGGTAATAAGATTTGGTAAGATTTCCACTCAGCCCTATACTTTTACTATGCACACATGTATCGACTCAATTCACATAAACTATTTGTGTGAAAAAGTATGAGATTGCTGCATTCATTATAATTAATGACTGGGGCTGTACAGAAATCTTACCAAGGAACTGAACAACGCAACCATTTTCACTGCTTTGATTGCCCACTGCACATCATAAACTAACCCGAGAGCAGGCCCAGTTTTTATCAGCTTTTGTACATAAACTCTTTCACCGTTATGCTAAAGTTGGGCCTGATTAAGGGCCTCTTCATATGAGCCCGATTAACCGGGCTGGCCCGGTTACTGGGATGAATTTTGCCTTGGGTTAATATGAGAAATTTCAGCCCGGTTTCCGAGATGAGAACAGGTCAAAGATCCTGGGAACAAGTTCTGGCGCCAAATTCGGGAAACAAAGAAAGCATGGCGAAACAAAAATTTTAACTTTCGGGCCTATCTTACCATCGGAAACTCTTAAAGCTGTATCACTGCAGTTAAATGGGATGCTTATGATGTGGAAAATACAGCAGGCAATGCAAGACGATGCCATCCGGACTGCCAGAATTCATCTCTCCGTTCATCCCGGTAACCGGGATGAAGTGTTCATACGGCAAAATTTTCAGCCCATTTACCGAGATCTCGGGAACCGAGCCAGCCGGCCCTCTCATATGAACACATTAAAAATTTTACAAAGGATTTAGAGGAGAGTCGAGATCTCGGAAACCGGGCCAGCCCGGTCAACCGGGCTCATATGAAGAGGCCCTAAAACTCTTACACACCCGTGCTACTACAGTTAGATTTAGGTTGCAATGCTTATTGGCTGTTAGAAAAAATGTAATAGGATCTGGTTTGCTCTTTGCTCTATCTGCAATTCAATCAGGGTAATCCAGTTTGATAAGCAATAAGTAGACCAAGTAGACAAAAAGAATCTATCGGTATGTGGGTATGCCTCTGTTAATTGCTATTTATTTAATTAATTATTTATTCAGATTTTTTAACATTTAATTTGGGTTTTAAAACGTACAAAATTTTAATTTTACATTTTTGTAGAAATAGATTGCAAGCAAAACACAAACAAGTTACGTTTGTTATTTGCCACGTAAAGGATCATCATATGAAGCAAGAACAAAACACCAACAAAGGTTAATTCAATGAAACAAGATACGAGCAACAATGTGGCAAGACCATATAAATGCAACTATTGTGATAAGTGCTTTACCTATCCATCATATTGGAGGGAACATGAACGTGTTCATACAGGAGAGAAACCTCACAAATGCAAGTATTGTGCTAAGTTCTTTAGTAAGTTATCAGATTGCAAGCGACATGAACGTACACACACTGGAGTAAGAGCCTATGAGTGCAAGTACTGTGATAAGCGCTTTACTCAATCATCACATTGCAAGCAACATGAACTGACACACAGAGGAGTAAAACCTCATCAGTGCAAGTATTGTGTTAAGTGCTTTACAGATTCATCAAATTGCAAGAAGCATGAACTCACACACACAGGTCTTAAGCCTTATAAATGCAAGTTTTGTAACAAGTGCTTCAGGGTTTCATCAAATTGCAAACGGCATGAACTGACACACAGAAGTGTGACATGTTATCGGGGTGGAAATTGCTAGAAACCCATTTAATTTATTGTCGTGTTGCAAGATACATCAAGGAATTCACACAAGGCAGTGGTCTATTCACAAATTTCTTAAGACATTGCAAACCAGTTATACATAATTTATTCAGCTATTGGATCTTGCAAAAGAATTGAGTACTCCTCCAGAATATTATATCCACATGGTACTGTTACAAAATGATCTCTGCCATTTTATTTTTTATGCATTCATTCTGATTATGAACACAGTGCTTTTAGCTTGGAATAAAAAATTTCACTCACACAATTCATTATGGTTCAAAATAATTCCAGTTAGTCATAATGGTTTATCAGTGACTGGGTAATTTATCTGTAAAATCTCTAAAAATACTGTTTAACTTTAAAGGCAACTACACAGCTTCTTTACCTAACCGGCATTGTATTTAGCAAAGCAGATTTAGTTTTATTTTGGCCACAGTATATCGTGGGTGTCAGAGGTTTTTTTCTGTGCATAATACTGACGGTGAAATGTGAAGTACTAAGAAAAAAAAATGTTTCATTGCATGGATGGATCGGGCTCTGATTCACCTCTGCTCTTAAATAAGGCCCAGGACGTTTGTGCTATATTTCATTCAAAAATTACTCTTTTGGGCTGCAAGAACGCTTGCGTAAAATGTCGTCAATGGAGGAACAAAAAACCTCTCTCCCATGATGTTTTCAAACGTTGTTGGAAGGTGCATCTCAGTGCAATACAGGGGAAAAACTGAACCCACGTTTTTAAGCATTTAAGGGTTCACCATTAAAAGCACTGAGTTACCGGTAACTTAAAAATGGACTGTTCTCAAAATTTCCCAAGAATAGTCCTTGTGCATGTTTATGTCAGATGAACAAATTTCAACACCAAGCCAGTGTAAATTTGTTAAGTTTTCCAAACTGAATTCCCAAGATAGTTAATTTGAAAAGAATAGCTATGCACAAAAAGGTCTGTTCTCCAATGACGCTTGGGGGTGAAATCTGCTTGTCTCTAGTAAAGCTGTAGGCATTTAGGGTTATGGCATTAATGGTTTGCTCTATACAAATAGCTACAATTCACTGCCAACCAAAACTGGCTCCAAGTATTCTAAGAGGCACTCAATAAGAGGTATCTGTGATAAAAATTAATTTTATTTGGAAATATAAATCACCAAACTGCGAAGCTGTACTATACTTGGCAAAAGTTTTCACTTTCTACAAATACTTTAAATGTCACCAATTTTCAAGTTTCAAAAAAGGAAAAATAAGTGAATGCTTGCAAAACAGTCAAACAGTCACAGGTACATTTCATAAAAATTATGGAATTTGGCTAATTCTAAATTTGCTAGTTCTGTTGAAAGTGGTAACCAAAAGTAAGCGAAAGTGACCATGCCTTTTTGCTTAGGGTTTTTGACATGAATGTTTAAATTTATGTTAGTATTAAGAGCAAAATATATTATTTGTGTTATAAATATAAGCTACTTTAAGGCCACCATTTGCAGCTGAAGCACTCTTTCAAAGATCTGATGTATCGTATGGTATTTTGTGCACGTACAGATCACATAAATAATTGATTCTATCTGTACAATCATTTTTACCAACAATCAAGAAGACTGCTGTACTATATTTTTGCAAAAGTTAATGGATTAATTCTTCATTGATGTGATTCTAGCACATATCCACTGACTCTTGAAATTGACGCATAGTTTCTTTTGAAAATGTTTCTTGTAGAAGAGTGCAGGCACTGGTGTCATAGGAACGGCCTGTCATCAACCTGCATAGCATACTAGAACGACAGCTATCATCACAGGAATGGCCGGGTGCAGATTTCCAAAAAAACCTGTAACACAAATTATTAGCTATTATTGGGTGTGGCACGACAATATTACAGTCCATTCTCTCCAGACAGAAAAAGTGTGATTTAAGACTGACAGGGGTGCAATTTTGCCCCTTTAACATCACTGCTCAGTTATTTTGTAATGCTTTGAATGAGAGAGGAGCTTCATGAGGCCCAAGGGAAAAGGAAAATTTTGAAAATTTATTCAGTGAGTATGGCATCTTCTAAAATTTGTAATTTACACCCCTACACGAGACAATACGGACAACAAGCATCCCATTTTTTATGGGGAGTAGGACTTATAGTGTACAAGCCATGTTACACTGATTGCATACTGATAAATACAAGTCTGAATTTGAAAGCTGGATTCCCAACAAAGTTCTACATCATGCCTGGTAAATAATATTACATTACTTCAATGACTGTCACTTACTTGTAGAATGTGTCAAAGAGAGTCTTATTAACTGCAAAGCGATGAACGAGGTTGTTCCAGTCTTCAGGTAAAAGTGAGGGCATATCATAAGCTTCCTAAATACACAAGTAAGAACTCGATTCAATACAAATGAGTCACAAACATGTTTAAAGTGGGAGTTGAAAAGTAAACTAGTAAGGCTAAAGGAGTAATAATGTACATGCATATATCAAGCTGACCTTTTTCTCATATGTTAGACATGTTTTTTTTGCTCTTACAAAGGAAGTAAACTCAAATATGACTAGCTGTATATCCAAAAACCTAATACGCTGACCTAGGACTAACTGATTAGCCTGTGTATGCAAAATACAAGGACCACTGCCCTTATTGTGCAAAATAAGCTCCCCACCCCTCTAACTCTGTGTAATAAGCAGCCTCCCCTTTGTCAAAACTAGCAATAATAAGCACTTCCCTTCCCATCCCCTCACTTAACTAACCTCATTCAAGGTGGATGTTCAAGGAAACAATAAATTATAGCATCAATATTACCTTGGCATTATACTCCAGTTTCCACTGTACATTTCCCTTATTTGCCTCCACTAGGTCCAGGATGTATGTTTCATGATTTAGGACAACCTATAGCATGTAACGAGAGTTTATTGACAACAGACAAAGAAACTGTGTTTTAGAGTTAGAGTTACAATCACTTAGTCTGAGTCTTAGTCTTAGGTCTCATTATTCTACAATGCACATGCCATTAATTTCACAGAACAATCTACTGTGTACAGGTACCCTAGAGCTGTTGGCATAATCTCCATCCACTTCATATATTCTGTATCCAGGATTGTGGGTTTGGTACGTTGTAACACTTGGTCCAATAAAAGCTATGCTGGAAACAAAAAGAAAACAACTATGTTACTTAAGACCATACCAGTCATTAAATCATCAGCATAATTTATATTAACACAGAAACATCTTGACAGTTTAAAAAATGTTACCTATAACCATGACCACTACTTCTCACTCAAGTTCATGCACAATTGAATAAAAGGGAAATGATTCTGGGTAACACATTAGGTGATGGGGCAAGGTAACATGACTTTAGGCATTTTCACTAACAATATTGATAATAGACTGTTTGGACATACTGTTGAATGAAAAGTAAAAAAAAAAAAAATCAGATCGAACTGTAGAAAAGCATAAAAAGAAACAAGAATATCGAAACTACACTGTACAGCAATTTGTGAGGACATATACAAGTAGATACACAAACCTGGACTACATTCTAACTAAATCACAATTTTGCTTGGGAAATCTTTAGCACATTTATTGATGACATAGTATGGTGGGTAAAAGTACTTATGCACAGTGAAAACATGGGAGATGTACCACAAAAAAAGTACAGCACAAAAAGAGTAATAAGAAATGAACAGCAGAAAAAATACACGTGTCTCCACTTCCTTTCTGACTGAGTAGTTACAGGTAACTTAAATAAGCTCCATATGAACAAATTAATGAGAGGCTAGGAAGTATGATTCATTGAAGGTTTTGCCTTAATTAATGGAAGACAGTGGATGTCAGTTTGATTTTAATTTCATGGTAAAATAAAAATCTACCAGACACAGTAATGCTAGGGGCAAATTAAACTGAGTCAGGTATACAGTAGTACTGTTGCAAATATATAACTAATGTTCAGCAAGTCAATATACATTGTAACTCCCACATTGCATCAGACATCACATTATGACTGTTTTCAGGTTTCATCACGAGTATAAACACGCTTTTGTTCTTACTTTGTGGGTATTTTCCTAGTCTTTTCATCATAAAAGATCTCAAACTCATCAGCATGGGTGTGGGCAAAGAACTGTGCTGTTACAGTGCTCTGGTAACGGTTCACTATCTTGTAATAATTCCAGCTCCATGGCTTGAGACAATCTGGGCTTCCAGGCAAAATGTGGCCAATAATATGAACCTGTTCACAATACAAGAATTGGCAGAGTGAGTTCACATAATAATTATTATGGATTACACAGAGCATTACACACAGTGGATTCCAATTTTCCACGTAGTTTATCTTGCAGCTCCCATATTAGCTTTAACCTGGATGCTGGCATTTGTCAAGGATGAATTATTAATCCTTGACTTTTCTTTTAACATCCATGTTTGAGTTCCTGGTAAACAATTTTGACGCCCCTCCCAGCAGATTGCATTTGCATTGTTTCCTTCAAGGAGGAACTTTACTCCACTTTGTCTCTCTTCAACCAGATGTATAAATGTGTAACTTAAGGTGACTTGACCCAGTTTTTTTGGGGGGTTACCATCCTACTTCGAAGCTCTCTGGTATCCCCACCTTTACTTTTATTGTAAGTGTAACAGATAGAATGGATAACATATAGATCAATCTACAATATAACATAAAATTTTTGGCGATCGGAGTAAAAAACTGAAAACTGTGACATTATCTTCTATAAGCCCAAACTTGAGTAAACATTGAAGATTTTTAACGTTTTAGCTGAGTTTGTGCTTTGGGAGTTGTCTATTGTTTCTAGTCTGTCATGATACGGCATTCTTGTTCAGCACTCTGAATTGCAATGATTGAAAAACTTGGCTGACTTCGAATGCTCAAACGAGTAAAATAATATTTTTTGGTACAGTGAGACAGGCCAGTTTGTCGTGATACACAGAGGTTTAACTCACAATTTTTAATCAATTAATTTTGTACAGTGAGACAGGCCTTCTTGTACCTTTGCACAAAAATCAAGAAGTGCTGTGCCTTTGCAAAAAACACTAAATCTACTTACTACTGAAAAAATATCATTTTTTCATAGGTTTAATGCAAGCCAATAATTAAACCAACTCGTGACGGGAGTATCTCGGTGAGCATTCGGAAGTCAGCCAAGCGTGGTCATTGCACGCGTGCTGAACAAGAATGTTGTATAATGACAGACTAGAAACAATAGACAACTCCCAAAGCAAAAAATCAGCCAAAACGCTAAAAATCTTCAATGTTTACTCAAGTTTGGGCTTATAGAAGATAATGTCACAGTTTTTCAATGACCATGAAATTCAGAGTCCGGGTAGTTAGTTAATCAATTGTGGCCCTGAAAAAATTTGAAGGAAAAAAAACTACGAATTTTTAAGAAAATGCTTTTTTTCGTGAGAAGGACTCTTAAACGATGAAAAACGTCACCAAATAGCGAAAACTATAATTTCTATATGTTTGCTTTGCTCGAAATCGCACGCATTTACAAGGCCCTAAAGCGTTTTGCTGACTTGCAAGGACCCATCTGTTATAAGGATGCCCAAAATAAAGAGACGAGTCTCATAGTTTATAAGATATAATCCGTGTAAAGTTTGCTTACCATTTTCGCATAAATTATGACCTAAATTTGGAAACCGCTGAATTTCTCGAATATTTGGGTCTTTGCGATTTTGGTGAAACTCTGTTCAGCGCAAGGCACTAATGCGCACTATGTGTCGCAGAGAGATTTTCACGAAAAAATGCCGGTAACAGCAGATTTTCGACTCAGACCTCAAAGGGGCGTGGCATTATAACCACGTTACATTTACTCTGATCGCCAAAAATTTTATGTTACATAGTAGATTGATCTATATGTTATCCATTCTATGTGTTAGACTTATGATAAAAGTAAAGGTGGGGATACCAGAGAGCTTCAAAGTAGGATGGTACCCCCCCAAAAAAACTGGGTCGAGTCACCTTAAGATATGTCTTTTTATCTTAGGAGAATAAAGATTAATTGACTGATTGATTGATTGTACCAGTGACATACTGCCCCATCCAGCGGGGAGTAGCAATACTCCTAGGCATGCTTCATGCTAAGGAAACCGGGATAATTAAGCTTCGGCCGCTTGGGACTTTGGACTTTGGCGCCTGTGCCCCCTTACCTTACCTTTACCAGCAGATTGCATAGTTGGGATTGAACTGATAATCTCAAGATGGTAGATTTTAATTTACAGGTGTACCCGTACTTAATTTGCTTGTAAAATCTTCTCCCAAGCTCTTAAAAGAGCTGTGTCAGGGCAGTCCACTTCATTTTATTTAATTTTGCCAATTACTTGCCCTCAACTGCTATGAAATTAATTAAAGCAAGCAAAGAAATTACATGTGAATGACAAAATCAGAGATCCGACACAAACAAATATGTCTCCTGAGCATTATTTTTGAAGTTGGAGGCAGCAGGGATCAACTTTGAAAAACTGTTAGGCTGAACAGTTTTCAAAAATCCTTATTTCAATCCATTACAATCTTCTTCAGATTTGCCCATCTGTGACATCTGTTGTATCTGTTACCTTTAAAGTTTAAAGCGGCTATTTTTATGTTTCTCTTAATTTAACGGGCATTTTGTAGTTCACCTAATTTGGCTGAATTTCATGACACAGCTCTTTTAACTCTGTTTCGCTTGTACAGAGCTCCAATAATCCCCACAGTTGTAAGGGATGAATGTGATGTTGCAGATGAAAGCCATATTGCTCCTACATGCTGGCCTTGAAGTCAGAATATTGGTCAAGTAGTTTTACAATTGCCAATTATGGACTACAGTAAGAAAAAATTGAAAATAATGCTGAAATAAGAAGTGAACAAACCTTTTCACCATTGTCTTCTGCTTCCTGTAACGTATCTACCAGCCACTGGAGCTGTTGAGCTGGATCAGTGTTGTTTATTAAAAGCCACCTAACATGAAACATCATCACTAACATAAACATTACGAAATAATTTACCACAAATTCAGCTAGAGCCGTGCGGGAATGTCATTCTTTTACATGTATCTAGCTAAATGCTACAGAGCAATTACCATGAACAGCAATTATTTGCACTCAAGTGGAGTGGACACTAGTTTTTGCTCTTCATTATAATTATGCCAATCTTTTAAAAAGTAAATATTTGTTGTTGTTGTTATTGTTTTTATTTACTTTCCAACCTTGAACAGTCCCTGGCCATGGCCTTCTGCTCAAGAATGTCAGAACACCCCTACTCTTATTGTACAGCAGTACAAATAAGAAGTACAGAGTGTATGTTGAGCTCCCTTTTGAATTGATATGGATGAATGAGGGAGACAACGCCAATCATCACTGGAACTGAGACAAGGTCTTGAATCAAAGCCAATAACAACCACTTTTCTAATTATAAATAACCCTGGTTATTGGCCTGATCACAGACATACCTAATGAACCCAACTCTCAAATCAGGAGACAGGAGCTCTTCCAATTTAACTAACTTGGTAGCAGTTTAGCTCAAATAAAATTGACTTTACTAAATTGCTTAGTTGTCTCTGTATGCTATCATTTCAGAACATGTGATACGATAAATATTATAATGGCACTTATAGCGTGCAGTTTCTTTCAGTACTGGTATAATCCATGCTAACCTGCACCAACAAAAATGTAATAATTCTTAAAAGGATCAGGATGTTTTCAACTGTTACTTAGGAACATCTATTGCTTAAGAAAATTAACCCTTAAGTTAAGGACCCAAAATTTTCTATAGTGTATATATATATTTTCTCACCAGTTCATGTTGTTACAATAATTCATGTTGAGGGACACTAGTCTAAATCCTTTGGACAACAACACTGTATAGTAACTTCCTCTGAAATCAAGAAACAACATACAAAATTTAACCAGGGGTTGTTGACCTACTTGTGGTTAAGACATTGGCTCATTAGAATAATAATAAAATTATTGATTATTATTTTAGCCTATTCTGCCTCATATAACTGTATTAATAACAATAATTGTTATTAATACAGTTATATGTGTTTAATAGATCTCCACACAATCTGTTAATTTATTGATAAGAGAAAACCAGTTGCAGGTTACTAGCCAACAGCAGTAGATTGTTAATTCTTATGTGATGCACACTCACTTGTAAATTGTAGGCAAGGCATAATCTGGTAACCAGATCTTCCAGTGGTCTGCTAAAGAGTCGCGTAACCACTGATTTGAATCAGGGCCTGTGACGAATGGCGGAGGAAAGCTGTGTGTAAAACACAATAATATGAAACAAACATCACTCACTAATTAACTTACTCATCATGTGTTTCTTAGATGGGTAAACATTTTAACTGGAGCCTGTCATGTATAACAGTATGTTGAAGTATAGCCAATGCAAACTGAATGGCAGTAAGTTCACAATAATATTATTATCTATCAAAATTAACATTACATGTATTTTAATGTTCTAAAGTTTTGATCGGTATCGAGATCACCGCAACTGAACCTGCAGATACTCATGACTGCATGCCTTCAGACAATGCTCACTCAGTTCGATACCCTCATACACAGCTTGGTCCATTTTGTTCAGGAAACAGTGGTTGCAATGTTTCTCCAAATATATTCCAAAACAAAACCAGCACACTGGTTGAAAAGCTAAAACCACTGTCAGTTGAACTAAGTTTGCAAAGTTTTGTCACCTTCATATAGTTTTATATTATTAACAATAAATTATTAAAAATATTGCCAATGAATAAATTTGATCAACCTGTTAACTGGAGCACCCTCATGATTTCCAACTGCAGGAAACACTTTCAATCCTGGAAGGTATTTTACAATCAGTTTGTTGGCATAGTCCAAAGCTGCTATCTGCAGAAAGAAAACATGCAAAAATGCCTCAGATGGGTTCTTTTACTCTTTCCACCAAAGAGAAAAGAAATGACATACCAAAACTGCCAATAGAAATAACTATTATGGGAGGAAAATGTCCCACAGACTGGTCAGGTTTGAAGTTATCATAAAAGGGAAATCAAGAATTTCTGGAATTTTTGTGCTGGTGATGGCTTATAGGGGGTGATAAATTAACTGCTCAATATAACAGCACTTTCATTTCATATAGGTTTCAATGTATTAAAATAACGTATTGAGAGCAACAGAGCTGTAACATATAATCACTGTCATTTCTGTACCTGTATATTACAGTCCATGATCAGTTAGTTCATGATCAGTCAATAGACCTTTTTACCAATATGGCAGCCATATTGAATTTCTTAGATTTATGGAGTATTATGGGATGCCCAAGGGGCACTCGCTCAGCATTAACGATAGCTTTTCGGGCAAAAAGAGAACTTCAATGTATGTTTCTCGGGAAAAAGGTGATCATTTTTACATCCAAACAGGGCACAACGATCTTTTTTTCCCATTACAATCTTTTTTTAGGAAAACTTAAAGAAAAACTGGCCCAAAAAGCGCATGTAAATACTGATGCGAGTATATCAGATCATGCTCATGCCCCCCTGGGCATCCCATAGTACTCCTTAACTCCAATTAATTCAATATGGCCACTGTATCGGTAAAAAGGTCTATATATTCATTTTTTTCTTGTTGTGGAAAAGAATGAAACTGAATGGGTGTGGAAACATAAGTTGTTGACAATTAAGCAACCATCTAAACACTTCACCTGATCTGCCCGTGACTGATTCCAAATATTGTGTGGAGGAACATCTCCAGTCCATATGGCGTAATCAAACTTCTGTAAAATAAAATAATATAATAGGAAACAAACTAAGGTAAGTGGAAGGGCTTGAAATGAGGGATCACGTTGCTGAGATTCATTGTGCATTCCAATTCAGCCTGTTTTGCATCTAAGCCATCTTTTCTGATTAGCTTGATCTCTGTCCTTCCCTCCCTTTCAGTTTAGTGTATACAGTTGAATCTTGATTATCAGAATTCGTTGGGACATGAGTAAAATAATAGTCCAGGTAATCAAGAGTCTGGATATGAATATTAATGAGACAATTATAATGTAAACATTGGGAATAAAGAAAACAACATTTTATCGTGAATTAGTTCCTACTTGAATTTATGTACGGACTGTAAGTGAAACAATCATTTGTTTATCCTTTATAGAGAGAACAGACTGCTAGTTTCAACCGATTGGTCTTATGTTTACATAACCAATGCGGAATCAAGCATGACTTCCCTTAATTAGCAACATAACAATTGAGCCAATCAGAATTCAGCTGAATGCATCAGAATAATAATTATTGTTCATCTTAATTGTGCCACTCGCACTTTTTCAAAGCTAAACAGATTAAAACAGTGTTTTAACCACATGTTTGGAAGGATTAATGAAATTTTAATCATTTCAGTTTTTCAAGATCACATCTTATTAGTATTCATGAAAAAATTGGGACCAGGGAAACAAGTAAGGATAATCAAAAAGTCCGGATAATTGAGGTTCGACTGTTCTGTGTTTTATTTTTACAGATTTAAACGGTCAGTGTGATGGTGGCAGTGGGTAAATTGAATGAGAACAATAGTTATGTTACTTTGTGTAGCTTTCTTATATTGACAGTCAGAACTTGTTATCAGGTAATGATACATGTTGAAGTTACCTGTTGAGTTGCATTGAGATGTTGGAGCATATTCTCAAATGTGATGGTTGGAATGTCACATTGATAATCTCCGTATTTCCCAGCCTTTGGTTTTCCAGGATCTAAAAAAAGCAAAAACGATAATCTCATTCTAAAGATAAATCCCTCAAATAAGAACCAAAGAATATACCAACCACTACTGACACATTATCCACCTAAGCCGATTACACCCTCCAGATGATCTGCATAATTCTTTGTTAATTAAAAAATTAATATCGGAGACTTTTGATCTTTCATAGCCAAACAAAAAATATTCCACATGGATCTTTTTAATTTGGTTTTGCAAAACCTACAGAGAAGAGGTTTCATTCGAATGGTAACCATGACTGTGCTCTACCAGGATTGCTCCTGGCAAAAATCAAAGATTTTTTTAAATGGCTATTCTCTCTTCAATCTCATTTGTTCTTGCTTTTTTCCCCCTAAATCTTAAAGGGCAGTTTCTCACATTAATGTCTTCAGTTGACCTTCCTTTTTGGGTATCCATTCACTAGCACCCAGTTGAACCAAATTGGCTGAGGTAATATTAAATTTTCGGCTTAAACAGCCGGGTTCTATTGCTAAATGATTAACATACAACAAATTTCATGTTTTTAGCACTTAAACAAAAACACACCTGGGGGTTTATCATTACTTCGACAACAAAGAGGTTCTCCACAATATGGATTACTGCCTTCCTGATACAAGAAATCAAGATGAATGTCCGAGAACTGCAGAACTCTTGACACAGGAGAACCAGGCTGAAAACAAACAGAAAAGTATAGAATTATTCTTTTAGCACAAATTAAGTAAAACACATTTGCCTCGCATTGTGGGACTGCTGACCACCGAAGAAACAGACTGCCAGAGGAGTGACTGTTGCGACGTCGAGGAAGATTGCCTGGCGCTGAATTCACAGCCAAATCAGTAGGGGTTACTGGATTGCTGAGACTTCGTACAGGGGGAGTATCCAATTTATTTGCCTTACAACAGCATGCTTAGTCCCCGACTCACAGGAGAAGCACACCAGCAAACACTGCATGGAGGGGTTAGGTTAACTATCCCAAGGCTGAGACAACTGGTGAGGAAAGTATGAGGGGACTGCCATGGATGCAAGCATTTTCAAGCACTAGCGTATGCAGCTCCTCCACCCAGTAATTTACCGACCAGCTGAACTCATGGGATCAACCCATATCAAGTGATCGGAGTGGACTATGCCGCACCCAAATGATATTGGGTATCCAAGCAATGAGAAGGGTAGGCATACCTCCTGTTATATGCCTGCACTCTCACCCGGGGGTTATCTTGCATTCCTTAATTAAAGGTTAGGAAACTAATTCAGAATCTTTCAAAAATTAAACCAGTGAAGAACAACGGTAACTTACAAGAAAAACTGGAGGTGTTACCTTCCGGTCAAGGAACCAAAGAGGTTTTAAAATATTTAAAATAATAAAATGCAGTGTATCACTATGAATCAGCAGTAAATTTTTGTACATTTTTTAAGTGATGCTGGCATCATTCTTTCAGTTTCTCACAAAACTAAAATTTGGAATAATGCCATTATGTTTACTCAACCAATGTACTAGAATATAGTACTTGACAACAGTGCATTTTTCTAGTTTTCTTAAGTTCACTTAATTGGAACTTTGTGGCACTAAATTATTAGATATTGTTGTTGTTTCACGGAGCGGGCTAAGTAAAATCATTCTAACATGCAAGTCACGAGACTAAAAACATCTTCAACACCTGATACCCCTTGCATTGAATGGATGTAGGAACCTGTTTATTCAAAAACAAAAAGGAATCGAATTACATCTGCACTAGCCTGCGTTGCAACCGGCCCACGCACTCGTCTTAACCATTAATATAGTCTACACAGAAGGTTTAAGACGGAATCCACCAGGGCATTGAGTAGATTGATTTTCAGAAGACAAAAATCTTGTACCAGAATTATTTAAAGCAAATTGCATTCTTTCTTAAGGATTCCGTCTTAAAGCGTCGGGCGACGTAGGAAACATCTGCACTAGCTATAATGTACATACCTTCGGGGGCGGAATAGGCTTTACAGGTGGTTTCTTATCTGGTATAGTAACATTCCAAAATTCACTAGGGTCTCTTTTATGTGCACATGAAGGTCCCAAAAGGCTTCCACATATCTCAGAAGGACTAAGAAAGACTTCGTCCACAACTGTTAAAACTTCAACTTTGAATTCAGATATAGCCTCGGTGCAAACTCTGTTGTCTTCTATCTTTAGCTCTTTGCAGACCTCTCTTGATATATGAACCACATCATTCACAACGTTGTTTGTCTTAAACGCTACTTGAGCAGCAAAACTCAACAGTTTACAGGCATCACAGGCACCGCTTGACAAAATTTTGTTACGCAAGTCGCTTTCCAGGCGTTCGAGCCAAGACGTGAATGCTTTGTCCAAAGGTTTCGAAAACGAACTCGAAGAGAATGAAATGATAAAGAGAGCAAAAACCAGACCAAATGACTTTCCTGAAATCATTCCAACACTAAAAAGTTTGATATGAAATCAGAAAAGCCAAACAAAATCACACAGAACACGAGCAACGTCGACTAGATACACTGCCGACATTGACCTTCTGACGCGCACAAACAAAAAATCGAGAAATCTGGGAACAAGTCACGAGGGAGGTGTATTGTGAGGTGTTTCCGAGGGTGTGTACAGCGTGATACATGCATGATTGGCTAAAGGATCTCGCGCCACTTACTGGTTTGTCCTGATCTTGCAAGTAGAATGGCTCTTTCTCTACCTTTCAAAAAAACATTCTGCACACGGGAATATGATTCATTTTTCTCGTGTAACAACTTTAAGTCCAACAAAACTAAAAATCCCCCAGGGGGTTGCTCAACCAATGTTTGGGTGTAGATGAGCCACTGATAATTTTAAAAACTCTGATCCTACTAAAATAAACTACCCTGTTTAGGACAACACCTTCAATTTTTATTACCCTGGCTTTTCCCCCTAGTATTCAGGTATTCTGATATTCCACCCATCGCATACTGAGGAAAAAGAGGCCTCTGCTAGCTGGTTAACAAAGAACAAAATGCACTCTATCTTTTATCAAAGCAGTAGCATGTTTTAAAAATTGATTTATTAGCAATTTCAATCGAGCAAGTTCATGTTATTAATGTTACAGTCACTGCTTTTTTATACTTGAGGTACAAACAAATTTCAAGCAAATCGAACCAATCATGCATGCAATATCCTGTCTTTTATTTAGGAGAGACTTAAACTAAATTATATATGCTGTTAAGGACAGACTTGTCTTAAATACTGGGGGGGGGGGGTACTCCCTTATATAAGCTATATAGGTATGTGCCACCCCATCGGGTGGGGATTTTGCGCGGTTTTGGTCTGAAAACGGGTATACACGTTGCCCATTTTGGTCTGGAATTGGGTATGGTTTTTTAGGGAACTACGAGATTGTAGGAACGTCTTTATCGTTTCAATTCCAAATGAGTAAGAAAGAAAGAAAAATATGCGAATGGATTTGAAGAATTTTTTTGTCTGTGCTATAATCTAAGAAATGATAACATAATTTCTTCCTAATGGCCAGGTCTGAAAACAGGTATGGATTTTAGAGCTCTGGTCTGAAAAAGGGTGTGGAAAATTACATTTTTTGGTCTGAAAACGGGTCAGGATTTAGGGAACCGGGCGGCACACTCCCACCAAGAATTCCCAGGAGTACCCCCTGGGTCTTAAATTATGTACCCTGTTTAGAACAAAGGACAAAAACCATACCCTGTCCAGTGGCAGATCCCCATATGGCCACACAAGGGAATAGGTATAACTTTAAATCAAGGTGTCCCACTGGACAGGATGGTTTTTGTACCTTTTCTTTTCTGAACAAGGCATATGATTTACTACAAATCTGCCCTAGAAATAGGGTGTTGTTTCTTGATTGTTTTCAGTAATCAAAAGCCCTACACTGAAGATGATCAGAAAAAGATTGGGTTTTTAGAAAGTGCAGTTTGTTTGCTTGTAGAAGTGGTAGTAAGATAGTGGGTCCATAGTATTATAAAAGCTTATTACTTATCCTTGGTCTTTGAAAGTCGCAGAGGTTAGTCAAATATCTGGTATTATAGAAAAAAAATGAAGATTATTAAGGAAGTTACAGTACCCTACGAGCAGATGTTTCTCTCTTGCATGGTTTTTAGTGTTGTTCAAAAGACAGATATTGAAATGCTTCTATAACCCACTGGAAAAAAATACTAATTTATTGCTATCCACAAAGGGAATGAGGTTGCACTGAAATTAACCACTGAATAGTGTTTATCTGGTGGATATAGTGCTTATCCAATTTTTTGAGCTTATGACTGATGTGCACTTAGCAATACAGTTGTTGCAAGTTTTTTTAGAATGAGTTGATAAATACACTGTACACCTTCAAAAAGACTAAAATTTTATTTACAACAAATACAGCAGGGGTATTTCAGCAGAACGCTGAATGACTAACCCTATAACCCTACTCACTAATTTCAGAGTCATACGGCATTCTACATTCTACCTACCAGGTCTGAAAACAGGTATGGATTTAAGAGGCTGGGTCTGGAAATGGGTCTGAAAAATAACAGTTTTGCTCTGAAATATCAGTCAGGATTTGGAGAACCGTGCAGTACACCCTCATCAAAAATTTCTGGGAATAACCCCCGCGTTATTGGGCCAAAATTATGAAAAATGGCTGTTAATTTATCTTTCAAAACAGAAATTTAACTCTCTGACTCTTTCTTTTTTCATCCATACACAATAAAGCATGGTGACTTTACTAGTTTTCAAACTATATCGATATTTTTTTTATTTATGATAGACAAATTAGTATTATAAGTGATTACGTCATAGTTACACAAATTGTTCAAAACTGTAGAAATGCGATGATATTGGTGCTGGAATAAAATACCAATACTTTACTAATGTTCTGTATACTTGGTAGCACTTCCATTTTGTGTCAGGTACATGTAATATATATTCCTGTATTTCCTGGTTTTAAATATTGGAATTGTACCATACACTGAAAAAGAAAAGAGTTAAGATACATTATCATCATGAAATGACTTCCCATTCCCATTTAGAACATGTACAATAAAAGGATCTCACAGTGCTAAAAGTGCTTTCAAGTCATTAAATTGCCGATAGAAAAACAAACAGACAAGGCAACCAAATCTTGATGTGGTTGAAATGAAGTTAGACCAGAAGAAAGAAGTTACATGTAGTTCAAGAGGTGCTGTTGATTATCTTCAGTACTGCTGATCATCTGCTGTTGATCATCTAATTCAGAATCTCACTTCCATGTTGGGAAACGCCAGAATTCTCCATCCTTAAGAGTCCAATGTACTTTATATTAAACAGTCAGTCAACACTTAATTAAGTCTCAAGACTTCTACTTGCAGGTTTTGAGACTATGTGTATACTCGTTAATTCAAACTTACTGTTACAGCTATCAGACTGCATTTTTCTGTCAAGGAACAATACAGAACAGAGAAAAGAACAATAATATTGCTACATACCATTCAGTAAATGTAGTGTCATTAGGATGTTGCAGAATGATTGACTTGACTTCTCTTGGTGGGTAAAGCCCATATTCCTCAGCTCTCTCCCACCTCTCTAACCTGGTAATTCCTTGAAAAGTCACAACATAATGTGTAACAGAAAATTAATAATAACAACACTTATCAACACAATAATTACTGGACTTGTATATTTAATATAACATCCACCAAAATGTATTTTCTCACGTTAAGGAATGCACACATACGGATGTGTTGGTATTTGTTGCGTGAGTTATTTTTGACAGTGTGCGTGATTATTTGTTATCTGCGCTTCATGGTTTCTAGAGTGAAAATGATTTGTTCTCGTTTCACTGCAGAGTGATTAGAGAACAAAATGTAATTTCATGCTGCATGATCAAACACTTTTTAGTTGCCGCCACCTATAGCTTGAAAAATCAAAACCAAACAAATTGTTGCTAACAAGTCAAACATTCAATCCGGCCACAATAATTTCCCTTTGCTTTATGGGTGAAAAGTGAATGTAACATGGTCATCACAGTCCATGACCCAAAGCCCTCCTGAGAGGTCTTTTCTTTGGTGTCCTTATTCACTTTGTGTTTTGTAGCCTAAAACAGAGTTTCAATCTCCATACCTTAAAGATCAAATAATGACTGCATTTGAAGGCAACAGTATCGGTTAACTAAAAAGCTTCAATTTTGTTTGGAATGTTTTACCAGAGAAAAGTTTTAACAATTTTATAGAGTGAAGCCATCAGCCAGTATTAGCGGAATCTCCATAATTTATAATTCAACAGTTTTAATTCTTCCTAAATGACTTAAGTGTGAGACTATGCTGGAAAATCCCCATTTAAATTATTAGTATTGGGTACAGGGAGGAAAGGACTGAACGGAATCAAAGTTAGTCTTAGTCTCAATTACCAGCTTCTGTTCAGGAAATGAGCCCGCGCTCCTATTCCCGATTCAACATGGAAATTGAGCCTAAGTCATTCTGCCAGTAGTCAAGTTAGTTTTTAGATCTGCACACACTGTCATCACTGCCATCTTGTGAATTGTCTTGGCTATACCTATTAAACATTGTTAACTTACCAATACAGGGGCCATATTCAGTGTCTAAGTCAAATTCTTTTAATACCAAGAGGGCTTTTTCAAGGTTCAGTTCCTGGTCCTTAGTTTCCTTTTGATCTAAAGAAAAGATAAATGGCTGTTGAATGTTTGGTAATTGAACTCAATCCAAGAATGGACCTGGACTGGTAATTAAACTCAACCCATTGTCTATATTTGATTACCAAACACTCTTAGCTTGCAGCTTGTAGACTGCCAAGCAGTATGCTAAGCACATGAACAATCAGAATGGACCCAGGCAGCCGGAGGTTGTCCTAAAGCAGCCAGGGGAAATCTATGGCTACAGCTAGAAATATCTCCCCGATCATGTCACCATTGTCAGGCTACCCACCGTTAGGGCTTCCCAAAACTAGTGAGTAATTCTTACCTTTTTGATGAATCACATCTTTGGCCTTTGATTGCTTTAGCTTTTGGTTAATCGGTCTGTCTTTTTTAGTCTTTGGAAAGGAATCAGTAACTAACCTGGTAGAAGACGCCATTGCCACTCCAACAACAAGAAACGGTCCAAACAGCTGATTGGACGAATTGGACGCGGAATCGACGCGGAGAGACGCGGAGACGGAGACGCGGTTGCATAGGGCCTCGCCTCAGTCTCCAACAGTGCATCTGTTGTTTGACTGCGAATGTCACAAAAAATGGCGACTGAGAACCCGTTAATTTCTAAAACCGTTCTGTATGCTGGAGAAGGAGAAATTCCTATATTTGAAAGTGGATCCAAGGTAAACTCAGCTAAAAGACACAAATATTCGTTATATTTTTTATCACAAAATAAGTAAAAGTCGAGCAAGATCGTAAATTCTGGGTTTTTCACTGTGAAAGAACCGATGAAGTTTTTCCTTGTTTTGTAAAAGCTTTAACTTTGTAGGCTTTTTATTTAAGCTAAGTTGAATTTTTAGTTTTTTTTTTACGTGTCTCTTGATTGTTGAGGATTGTTTCCCTAAGGGCCTAAATTCTAGGCCAAGTCTGCTTGATTTTCTTGCAGTACTCCATTCAGGACTACGTTCACCCGGACGATCAAACCTTTCACAGTTTTAGTACTCTCTAGCTACAGTCCCAGGGGCCCCACTCACATATTTTAATGACGGGGGGGGGGGGGGGGGGTCCGACAGAGGTTCATATTTTATACCCAAAAAAATCCCAACGTCAGAATTTATCTACCCAAAAAAATCCCTACTTTTTTTAGCATACCCAAAAAAATCCCTCAGTGTGTTTGGATCAGCAAATTTATTATTTATCTTCTGGAAAGCTAAAACATGCTAACTTCAACTTTAGTTTTGGTCAAGAACAAAACTATACAAAAACAAATACAAAAAGCTCGCATGACTGTTATAGGGTCTCTTCATCCTATCTTCTGCGACAACTTTACAGGAAGATATTCACTTATGACATCTACAGCATGTCTTGTCCTTAGCACATTCTTTGCTTGCTATTGTACCGAAACATCCCTATGTAACAGACCTCGTGGCATCAGACTTTCACCATGTTTTTGTGTAACTGATATCTCAAAAGGTGGACAGACAATTCCCACCAGGTATGGAACACATCCATACGCACCAATTCGTGTTTCACCAGGCGTGTTACATAGGAGTGTAGTGAAATATAGCAACTCAGGGCAACTCAACTGTATCAAATATAAGACTTGAAAATTAATACACTGTTCATTAAAAATTCAAGCCAAACTGTATCCTGACAAACAGCATTGGAAAGTAAAAACCGGATCTATTAATCGTGATTAATGTGCGGTGTACACAACCACTCGCCTAAGTCGCCCTGTTCGAGTCCTGGAAAGTTGGACTCTTCGACCATCATCAGCCATGTATTCTGAAGTGTCACCATAATTTTCCAAGGGGAAATATGCTTCTAGGTAAGTAGCATTGGCTAGTGAAAGCTGAAATTCTTCCCCCCTCCTAGTCAGAGAAACTGGGCTGATGACCTATTGAATATTTCTCTCTGGATTAGATGCACGTGGAGTGCCGGTAATTTACTTTTCACATAGATTACAATCTCAGAACTATCCTGTAATACCACACAAGCAGTAAATTGCGCTTATGTTATTGTTGATTTGAGCTGATGAAAAATACAATACCAAAAAAAATCCCTCTGTTGTTTTCGCGACCCAAAAAAATCCCGGCGTCTTTCATAGACCCCCAAAAAATCCCTTTTGGCCAAAATGTCAGACCCAAAAAAATCCTTCGGACCCCCCCGTCATTAAAATATGTGAGTGGGGCCCCTGGGGCTACAGTAAAATCCAGTTCAAGGCATTTTTTATCGTCATGAAATTAGGTAAAAGTGAAGAAGAGCTCCCCTAAAGTCTGTCAGCTGCCAGTTTTTCGAAGGAGCTGGTTTTTTTTTTTTACTGTTTCCTAACAATGCATCTGTTTCGGGACTTTTACAACTGGCTGCTTTCAGAGTAGCCTCCCATGCAGGCGTTTTGGGGATCTCGCTTTTCATCCGTCCCCACAAACGTTTGTGGGGAGGGATGAAAAACGAGCTCCCCTAAAAACGCCTGCGTGGGAGGCTACTGCGTAGTGGAGGTTCAATTGTAAAAATATCTCTGATAAGAAACATATTTACGTTTTATTTTAGGCTACCTTTCATTTCAAGACTTTCAAAGCAGATGAAGATAAAACTCCTATTGATTGTAGTAAAGAGCTTGGACAGCCATTCGAGCTTCTTATTGGGAAGAAGTTCAAATTAGAAGTGTGGGAGGAACTTATAAAGACCATGAGAGAAAAAGAAGTGGCTCGGTTTACATGTAATAAATTGGTACGAAGTTATTAAGTGTTTATTTCATATAAATATCCGTCCAAGATTAATAATAAATAAATTGTTCAGGGCTGTCACTAAGATTTCAAGTTACCATATATATGCAATTAGACGACGGGGAATTGAGCAGCTAGGAATTTCTCCTGGTTCCATTTTCCTTTTGGTTCCTTGGAAAATAGCCAAGCATCACGCTCATAGTGTTGGGGGGAATCCCCAGCCCTTAGTAAGAGCCCTGATTGTTGGACAAAGGACATGTAATGTACAGGCAGCAATACTGCTCATCTATTTTGGAAGTGCAGAGTTTGAGAAAGTAGAAAACATGAGGAAAGATAGGCACAAAAAGAAAGGGTTTACTGATGTGGACTCGTTATTCCTTTTACATCAGGAAAAATACCTGTTCATATTATGAGCTATAAAAATGTCACCACATTTCTACCAACAGCATAGCCTTAACCTTCAAAACATAAACCACACATGGATAACGATCCCTTGATTTGTTATGAGAGAGGGTTAGATGTTAAAATGTCTGCTTCTAAATGTTCTTAGCATAATAAATTGACTTCATCAATTTAGTTGATAAGATAGAATTTTTGTCTTTCACTTACCCACTGTCACAGAACCACAGTTTGTTTTAAAAGTGATTCCATTCTTCAAAGTAGGAATTGTTTGTTTTAGTGTTGTGGTGTAGGCTTACCTTGTCGTGTACCGTAAAGTGACACCGTACTTCCTCTAATGAGCTAATGACTGGTATTTTTAGCTTGTAGGAGGTTATCCAATTGTGTCCAAGAGCCTACGCACTATTGCTAAGAAGGCAAAAGGAGAGTTACCTGAGGAACATAGCCATCATGAACATTCATGTAGCTTGTCAGCCATGAAATCCACAGGATACCCAGACTTGGACGAATTACTTGTCAATGAACAGGATCTTGTCTTCGAAATAGAACTTTTGAAGTATGAAAAGCCTGGTGAATTCTTAAAAGAAACATGGCAGATGGATGCCGAAGAGAAGTTGTCAATTGTTCCTGGATTGAAGAAGGCAGGGAATAAACTATACGAAGAGAAAAAGTACAAAGAGGCAGCAGAAAAATATGCAGAGGCGTTGGGTTGTCTTGAGCAGTTATGTCTGCGAGAAAAACCAGGTGATGAACCCTGGTTAAATCTTGATCAAATGAAGATTCCTTTTTTGCTTAACTTTGCACAGTGCAAGCTTTTTCTTGGTGATTATTATGAAGTTATTGAGCACACATCAACAGTTCTTGAAAAAGATAAGGATAATGTCAAGGCTTTGTTTAGACGTGCAAAGGCTCATGTGAAATGCTGGAACCCTCAAGAGGCTAAGGATGATTTCAATAGGGTTGTAGTTTTGGATGCATCACTAGCAAAAGCTGTCAAGAAAGAACTTGAGGAGCTAGAAAGACTCACTAGAGAGCATAATGCCCAGGACAGAGTGAGGTTAAAAGAACTTTTTAAGTAATGTGATTAAGGTGTAGAGAGTTGAGTAAAGAGTAAAATCTACAGTGCCAATGGCAAGATTATTGTTTGAAGGTGAAAGCAGTGAAGGGTGTAATAAACTGACAGGTTTTGTGACTGACCACTCTCCCTTCATCAGTGAAATAGACCCTTTTTCAGCTTTACACAAAAACACTGTGCGGGAGAGCTAACAATGCAGTGGGACCCTGAAAGAAAGGAAATTAGCTTTTATGTAATCACGTTGTTTTTCTTGTCCCACTGCATCTCACGTTCTCCAGGAAGGTGTTTTTGTCCCATGTGACAGACTGTTCAGTTGAAAAGGGCTCATGGGCCATTGAACTACATGCCCATTTTGACAACCTTTAGAAACATACCATAAAATTCCGAAAATAAGCCTCTCCTTGCATAAGCCCCTCCAAATATAAGCCCCCCAAACCGGTAACACAAAAAAACCTCCGATAAATCACCCCTCCAAATATAACTGCCCCGGGGGCTTGTACTTAGGAAATTGCCCTCAAATACAAAGTAAAACAAAGCAAAAAATGGTAAATTTACTTCCAACTATAAGGCTAGCCCAATCGATTTTAACAAGCAAATTTGCCTCCGTAGATAAGCCTCTCCGAATATAAGTCCCTTCAAAAATAAGCCCCTCAAAAAGGGCCTTTGAAAAATATAAGCCCTGGGGGCTTGTTTTCGGAATTTTACAGTATCCAAGTGTATTATGTTTATGGATCTTTCTTTGCATGACATGAGGTTTTAGTGAGTTTGAAAGAAATGCAGTAAGACTATTTTGCAAAATTCTTAAGGATGTCATGGCATCCTAATCAGTTTCAGTAAGAAAGAGAAAAGTTTTTTGTTTACTTTCTCCAAAAGAAACGCCACATTAGAAAGTTGGTGTTGAAAACAGCAAAGAGGGGTACAGTCAGTCCCCATTAGAATGGACGCTAAAGGGGCCATAGAAAGGGTCTGTATTAAAGGAGTGTCTGTATTGAGCAGGTCATGTTATTAAAGAAAAAAACACCTTTTATTTAAACAAAATACTAAAGTAATAATTAAAAAGAGTACATAGCATTGTCAAATTAAGCATCTCTTACCTTCACAAAGCTGTCATTCCATGGCTTAAATCCACCAAAACACTCAAAACTTGCCCATTTATGTATTACTTAATCAAAACCGTTCTCTGCATAAATTGTTTGATGCCAAAATTAGTCTGAAATTGATATCTAGAAAACATCGTACTTGGTGCATTGTAGTGCTGGAAACATGTCAAAACTAATTTTTTTGCTTTGCCTTTCTTTTCAAAGCTAGTTCCCGGTTTGATCATGCGGTTCAGTCAACAGCTAATTTTTGACTGATAAAGGAGTAGTTCATAGTCATGACTTGTCTGAGTTAATCACAATATTTAAAATCAAGGCAAAAATATAACTTTAGCTTATTAGAGAATGATTATTGTCACTGGTTTTAACAGCTGGCGCTCTATATCCTTGGCAGACATAGTTATGAAAAAAAAAATCCAGTTGTAATTTGAACATGTACATTATAGTTGTGTGATTTTAGACAATTAAACACAACAAAAAGTTGCCATGCCATGCCACTATCAGTCCACATAGCCAGTTGGGGGTGGGGGTGGGGGGCTGTACACAGGCTATTGTCCCCAGTGCGGCAATTCTAGCCATGACTTGACCCTAATGTTACTGAACCTTGTCACCCCTGGAGTGATCAGTTTTTTATTTCAGCTGTTAATCAAACCTAGTGGTCATTTGAAGTTTACCATACAGACGAAACGATCAAGTACCACAGGAAAAGTATGGTTAAAAGTGTGCACAATATATAGACTGATAGAACAGATATTTGGCTTTAATTTAAGGGTTCATGTTAGACCTTTCAAAGGTCCGTTTTTGTCATGGGCATTGGCCAGGAGACTTCCTGTGACTTTCGACGCTCGTTTTGGCCGCTCAAAAAAATCGACTTGTGGGTATAAGTCTGGGTTAATGTCCATTGCGTTTAATGCAACAGCATCGCTCATAAGATCGTCGACACGTCCCTCTAACAGTAGGCTCTGATTTACGTCTTTATAGGTAAATATGAATTACTCGTACTGGTAAATTTCTGACTTGTCTGTTTAAAAGATGACAAGCAGTTGAGAACATTGGGAGTCGAATTGGGAAGTTGATGCGAAGCTGAACATAAGTCTTTTACTCATGTAACGAGAGTTGTATGTTAAATGAATGTTGAGCTTTTATTGATTTTTGTACTTATGATGAGTGTTGTACATGTAACTACAATTACTACAATAGCGAAAAATAGCAACTAGCTTTGGACGACCCAACACAAAACCAGTCATACTGATGAAAAGGGCAGGACCACTCCAGCAATTCAACAAAGGAATTCGATTGAGTTTTTTTACGACCTCTTTCCTTGATCGTGTGGAGCCCTAGCCTTACCAGAATAATTCGTGATACTTGTTTCAAACTTAGAAAAACACACCGAAATACGCATGAACCAGGGTTTACTGCCCCAAAAAATTACTCCATGGTACCGTTAGTTTCAACTTTTACACACTGGCAGAAGTAAACGTTCAGCAAGGTCAGTTCTCTTCCTTAGGCCATTCACCCTCGTTGCGAATATAAAACTGAAACGCGGCTCGTAAACCGGACTCCAAGGCACCCTGAATCCATCCTGTAGCAAAGGAAAGGCCGTCTCCAGCAAAGAAGATGTTTGCCATTGGGTATTCCATAAGGTAGCGGACGTTTTGGTACTGGGTGGGTTTGAGTAGGGCGTATGCTCCTTGAGCGTTCGGTCGGTTGTACCACGCGCAGACGGCACCCGTTTCAACCTGCTCTTTGATCTGTGGGTGAATGGTGGCTATTTGCTCTACTGCTTCGTGTACCGCAGTTTGAGGATCAAGGGAACCAAAAAGTAGGGCCTCCGATTTCCACGTGTAGACCAATAGGATGCCCTTTTCCCCGGGATGGTCCCCGTCGCGGTTACTTGGATAATGGAGCTGACCAATGGGAAGATTTGTTTTGGAGAATCCCCCTTTGATTCCCTCATCCTCCCAAAATCTCGTCTTGGTCTGTATGAATATTTTAGTCGCAGCACCTGTAAAGATGTCTTCTATGGCCTTGTGAAAGCGCTGTGGTGGAGGCGGAGTAGTAGTATCGTTGGGCGTGAACTTGATTTGTCTAAGAATGTTGATTGGAGTGGCTACTATAACAGCATCTCCCTCGACCTGAAAAGGCTGTCGGCTGTTGCTGAAATAGCCTTTGACCACCACTTGATTTTTTTCAGTGTCATCCTCATCAAATGTGTAGAGAATCTCTTTGACTGTACGATTGAGGAGGATTTTCTTGTGAAGGTGGACGTCGGGATTCCAGCCTCTTCCTTTATTAGGCTCGGTGAAGGCTTCTGGCAACAAAGACGTCCCTCCCACAATACGGTGCATGTTTGGCGCCCACCACTGTCCTAGCTGATCACGGAGGTATTGAACCAGACTTTGGTCAAGCTGCTCTGTGTAGCTAAAAACGCTGTAGGCAGTGATGGCAGCATCTGTCCAAGGAAGGTACTTCTTAAGCTCTTGGAGGCCTTTCAGAGAGATTTTGCGGGCTTTGTTCCTGACTTTTGTCATGACGGCTTCGTAGCTACTTTGTAGGAACCCATCAAGTGAGAACTGACTCCAGATATCAATCCATTCTTTCCAGGCATCGCATGGTTTAACGTCAGGATTATCAAGAAGGTCACGCAGCTGGTCTGTTATGACTTTAGTGGTACAATTATAGTAGTCATCTGCAGTGAGATGAAGATGAAATTTTAGAAAAAACTACGCACAGCAATTTCACCAAAAAAGAAGGGGGTTTGTAATATTGTCTCTAATTAAATTAAGCTCGCTAATTAAAAAAGTGATTTTCCAATGCATCGCCGATTTTGTTACTGTTCCTTTTCAACCTAATGACATTTTCTTTAATACTCCTCATTCTATTCGAAACCCAGTGTTTCCTCCCTTCTTCAGCTTCTTTCTGTCCCAGGTCATAAACCTTTATTTATATCAATTTTTTCTGTTTCCCCGTTTGTTTTCATTTTAGCCTAATTATGCTGAACGCAATACGATATCTGATGTAGAATAACCTTGCTTGCAGATCCACCCTTAATTTATTTATTTGAATTCCAATTTGAGTCTGCTCATTCGAAAAACTAATCGACGAAACCGTTGATTAAAAGCGCGGTGATTTCTATATTGGGCTTGCTCGCCTTTATGTTTCTATACATTTGTACTTTTATGTATATAATTAAAGGGCGGCAAAGTTCAGTTCTAACCACTACTGAACAACGATAGTCAGTTGTACAGTTAAGCTTATTTCAGGCTTACCGATACTTGCGATGCCTTCTACTCCATTTTCTTTGAGGGTATCATTCCATCCAGGCCAAAGTTTGTCGAAATTTGCGTTGTCCCATTCTGTTTCAATTAAAGATAAAATATTTAGTTATTGTCTCAGAGTGTTTCATTGCAAAAGATAACAATTTTCACTATGCCACCGATCAACCCATCAGCCGTATTTCGAATTACGCAATAAAGGCGTATAAACGTTGTGCAGCAGACCTCCACATGGGGGAGGAAAATTCGAAACACAGTCAAAAGGACTTATGGGTGTCGTTGGACACATTGTGCCGAAACCAAGGTTTTCAAACCCTGATCCTGTGGGAGAAAAGAAAATAAAAAAACTGCATTTAGCCGTTCAGTTAGCTACAAGCTTATAAATTGCTCGGTTGAGTTTTCGCAAAAAGACGAAAAAAGATCGTCCTTTTCTCGTGAACGCGATTCATTTCATTTGGCATGCATAATTTAGTATTTTTTATACCTAACATCACAGAATTAGATTACATTAGATATTAGATCACATGTGGGCGTGGGCGTGGCCACCGCCAAAGTTCACACCTTGTTCAAGGCTTCCTGTCCAAAAAGACGCCTTGTATGTCCAAGGCGCTAAATGACGCTAAACAGTGAACTTATAATTAAAACCCTGTGTAAGACTCAAGATTCCGAAGACCATACACTGTTCGGTGGCATACCCTTTTAGGCCAAAAAAGAGAGTGTCACTCTAGAGGCAGACCACAGACCACCATACTGTTTAAATTATGGGGTTACATCTAATATCATAGTTAGAGGTTCTACCCCTCAATACAATCGAAAGGTTTCTATTTGCAACCTCGCTGCCCCGGGGCATCTCCCTTAAGAAAGGGAGAGGCGGGACAGCGGGAAAAAGGGCCTAGTGTTTCAAGGGAAATCCCCGAGGACAAGGCTGTCTAATCGTGCTTACCCTTTATTCGAACAGCGTCTTCGTTATAAAACTTGAGATAAGCATTTTCATTGTAGTTGGCAAAGTGTGCCAAGGGAAGATTAAACCGCTTGGCAGAGGCATAAAAATCTGTCAGGAAGTGGGTCTTTTCTTTGGCGTCCGGGGGACATGGCAGCCTCATAGCACCAGCTGGGACAAGACAATAAAAGAAGCAAAAATTGTGTTAGACTAGAACAGTTTACTGCCGTTTGTTTCAGGCATTCCGATAGCGGGGACGGTGCAAAGAGTAGTGAGTGGGATAAAATAGCAGCGGGGCGCGATGTAGGGAGGGGGCGGGGGGGAGAGTGACTCCGTTTTCTGCTTCTCACTCCCCTTCTATTTTTTTTCTTCGCCCTCTATTTCGCTTCACTCTCCGGTTACTGAACTCCTGAATTAGGCTAAGTTTATTACAGGGGTGGACCAGTGTTTAACCGACAGGCACGTCCAGCCCTCTTCTCGTTGCTAAACATTACGTCTTCACAATAAGTAATTGCTCCGAATACGGTTACTAAATCATGCAAAGACCGGTGTAGAAAAAACAAGGGAATAAAAAAATTAGAACCCTGTTAAGGCGACATAAAGCCACCAATCTTTTCTAAAACACGGCTTACCCTCAGCACAAAGTTCCTTTTCAAAACCATCTTTTTCCCCAAGGGTATGTATTCTGCCGCCTACTCGCATCTGACTCTCCAATAGTATCACATCATGACCTACTTGCTCCAGCTCGTATGCAGCTACCAGCCCTGCCATTCCAGCTCCAACCACGATCACTTTCTTCGGTTTTTGAGTCTTTGTACGCTTCTGGGGATTCTCCAAGCGCTGGATCCATTTTTGGAACGCGAAATTTAGGCCCTTTTTTGAAATGTCCATCATAAGTGGTTTCAAAAGATCACTTTGTTGAATGGGTTCTTTCTCTTCTTCCGACCTCTTCTTTTTAGCCTCTTTGGCTGCTTTCTGAGTCATAGCTACTTGAGGACGTTTTCTGGATGTCTCAGCCGGAAGGCTCCCTACATCTCCAGTAACCCAGTTTGGTTCATTGTTGAGTGAAACTCTACCCATTCGCTTTTGAGCGACTGCCATCGTTAATTCTTAGCTGTAGATATCAAGGAGATTTCAGGGTAAAAAATCTTGATAAATGTATTCTTTGAGGCCCTTTGAAAACGTGAAAAAATAAGCGGATTCCAATGTAAAGTAATGTATGACCTGAGAGAGTCACGTGCATCAACTCAAAAAGTGCTTCGCTCTTGTATGCCAGTATTCATTTCTATAACGACTAGGAGATTTTATTAATAAAAAAAGTAGGACATAAACACCTTCATCGATTGGCCGATAATGATGCTCACCACGATTAAGAAGAAAGAACCGTGGTAAGCGAAAAGGGACGCAAACCATGCATAAACCAAACGCATAAAATCTTGATCAGTTAGAGCTAGAAATCTGTACTACTTTCAGCTTTTCCTAGGCTCCGCCCAAAGACCGACAGCTCAGTAATCACTGATGCAGACTGTAGTTTGTAAATTCAATTACCAAACAATACAATATACATTTAGGACATTGTGAAACGTGACTTGTTTTTTCGTATTTGTTCATGAGTAGCGACGCTTAAAAGGATCAAGGGAATGACAAATCCACGTGCACGTTTGAATTTTGCTTCAACTAGGACTTTTAATTCATTTGGAGGTTCTGAATAAGCTGCGCAGTTTCGTTGACTTGAAGACCCCGTCTTAGTCTTTGGCATTTCGTAATAAAACACCCTAAGGCGATTATCTAAGATATACATATTATTAGCTTTATTTATCAGAAAATTTATGACATAACATCCTGTGAAAGTGTGTTTGGCAGTAGTGCGTTACCGCTTACTCTTTCCAACCAAACGTTCATTAGCAGCGCGCTCGTAAGAGTTTGTGCTTACTCCGCTCATATACTCAGTACATGTATACTTGACTCGACCGACAAAAGCCCGGCTTCGAGAAGAAAAGAATGTCTAGCCCAAATACTAGCGTCTTGAATGTTACGTTAACCCCGCTAACGATAAAAGGAAATTAAAAAATGTATGAATCCTCGAAAGACAAACCTGATTTTTTCCACTGTATAAGACTTAATCTGGAATATGCCGAGCTAAAGATGCTTCTAAGTTTGCCTTCACATACACTATCATGTGGCGTTTGGTAATGAATGTGTCTCGGTGCACTCGGAGCTTATATCGGGATTATGCGACTCAAAGGAATGTCTAAAATTCAGGCTAGGGTAACAATAACGTAACAATAGGTTAATCAGAACATAGTTAATCAATTGCAGTGGTTATAAAAGCCCGTCAGCTTTCTTTGTTATATCTTTTTTGGACTTGCACAACGTTCAATTGCATTCAAATTACTGACCAATAAGATTAGAACGTCGCATATTCAGTCGCGATTTGTGAACAACAAAGGCCTAGCATGTGTGTGGTCAGGGAGCTCCCGACATAAACTGCAGAAAATTTGTTTTCATCTTTGATGGTTGAAGACCATCATCCGGGACCATCATTAATAGTTTCCTCTACCAACTGTGATCTAAACGTTTCTATAAGTGTTGCTGCATCCTGTGTCACTGGAGCGAGAGAAGCAAAAGAACTCAGTTCAACAATGACTTATTGAGTAATAGCGGTGTGCTTCCAAAAGAAAAGAATCTAACCTTTGGTTTAGGTATTTAAGCAAATAATAAATTTCCCGCTTTCGGCGTAACGCTAGCGTCACGACACGTGAAAAAGCTCAGCCACGGTTGACGTAAATTTGCCGCTCATCTTCGCGTTAATTGCGCAAGTAAAACAAGTTTTTTTTTTCATAAGATTTCTGACGCAGTTTTTTGGTCGAAAAATGGGCGGAGAAGTGTGAGACCTTAAAGGTCAATAGAATCTCCTTGAAAAGAATTGTACTCAACCTGTGAAACAAAATCAAATGGCAAAGGGAGCCGGGTGATGAAAACTATTATTATTTTTTATTATTTTTCAAAATTTTTACAAATGAAGTAGAATTTGTATGCATTCCGAGAAATAAAGTGATAGAACGGAAATCCTGCATTATGAAGATGTCGGCTTAATCGCAAATTTCGTACTGCGCAACCAACATTTCCTAATCGCATAAGAAACTGTGTTTTCTTCGGTTATTCTTTTATTCAAGTCTGTAAAATAGTTCTTGCAATTCTGTATTTACTTGTATGGCCATGCAAATAAAGCTTGTTGTTGTGACAATAACGTCTGGAACATTATTATACTTTCATACTTGCGTATTTTATCCTGAATATTTGGCTTATTGGAGGTAGGATTAGGACTCAGGTTACAGCGGACCATGCTATGTATCAATAAATTGAGAATTATTTCCATGACTACCGAATACTCGATTCCGTCTTCCTGCTTGCCTCTGAGTTCCAAGATCGTGACTTTGCGGAACAACGAATCGCTTCAAGGTCACTCCTTTGCCTCACTGGACCCAGATGAAGAAAGAATTAAACGGAGGTGGCCGGATGCCCATGGTCTGCTTGGTAGGCGCCAGTTTATAGTTTATCTGAGTAGTTTTTATAGTGCGCGCGAGGGAACACGCCGCCCCTCGTGCGCGCGCGCGTCCTCGAAATTTCTCCCTTCGCCCTATACGAAAATCTAATTATAGATTTAGCCATAGCTAAAAGAGAAGCTCTCGTTTATATATTTTAAATTTACTTCAGACAATGAACTTTAAACCGTTGCCAAGAAATCCAGAAATCTATAGTTAACCTGACTTAACTTTTGGCGAGAATGATATGGCTGAAACATATATTAAATTTGAGCCTGTGATCAATTAAAAGGTAACAACTAGTCAGCGAAAAACTTCTAAAACACATGACCTCGATGGTTGGCTCCCGACTCCGCGATACAGTCATGTGACTCTGATCAGCGGATACCCTGTTTTGACAGCTGTCAATTGAACATGACATAGATGTCTATTATCAAGCTAAACACTGGTTACAATCTTCCACACTAGCTAGAAAGTTCGACATTTCACATTGGTTTCCCTGTGGTGCGGGGGGGGGGACGGACGGACGGTCACGTGATTACCAAAATTTCTCGGATGGATAGATTATCAAATTTTCTTAGGTAGGGGGCTCCTCTCGTGCGCTCGTGGAGCTCCGTTATATCCAAAAGTTTCGGATCTTTTACTTCTTAAACTAATTCTTGTATTTGAATTCAACACTCGCGTACTACGACTCATCCAAGAGATATAACGCGAATCATGCGAACGTAGGTGGGGAAAAGACATATATTTCCTTGTGAAGGCTACAGATGAGGAATTCAAACAAGAAAGCACTCCTCTGATCATAGGCGATGACTGGTATATTACATAAATGAAGGCCATTTTATCTCCTAACAGAGCCTCACTAGCAAACAGAGAACCGTTTTGAGGAGCAGAATAAGCCCCTTCACCTTCTCTTCCCTGCTCCTAGCCAACTAATAAATCGACCTCTAGGACTTTACAGGAAAGTTTACAATGTTAACCAAATGGTAACTATGGAAGGGAGAAAAAGTTATCTATGATTCTAACAGGGGGAAAGGTACGCAACAAAGTTTTTTACGGGGAGGATCCACCCCGAGGTCCAACCCCTTACACTTTTATATACTATTTCTTAACAGTAAAGGTACCCCTTTCGAGTATCTTCTATTGGCAAATGGGTACCTTTTACATACAGAGTATGGACCTCTGCATCCCTTTTAACTGCTGTAAATTCACTGTCTTTAAAGTATGAATAAATCGCAAAATCAGAAGGTTTTCTCAACATTTTCTCGGCCATAAGATGCATCTGTTGGCCCTTTTTACAGACAGAAATGACAGATTTTATCAAACCTTTATATACTCCAACTAGTGACATTCCTACCCTTTCGGGCGAACCTCCCCGTACAGGCTAGTATAAGGAGTATCGGGATTCTAATGGCGTCTGAGACACATATACAGCGGGTGTGTATTAGAGACGGAATCTGGGAGCTCGCAAAAAAATAGTGAGTAGCGTCACCATGGTAACAACAATAGAAAGAATTAAAAAGAGCCTGTCTAAAACACGTGCAGCTTTGATCCACTCTTTTTGATTCTTCAACTTCTCTTCAGTCCAGTCGAGCATATTGCCTCCAAATGGCGCGGACATCGAGTCTATTGTTAGCTGTCTTGTAAAAATGCTGGCGTTTGACGGGCGCTTCTTTTTGCTAGCCTTCTTGGCCCCGCTCCGTCTGAAGTTTCTGTTGCTTTTAAACCCTTTTGGTTCTTTCTTGTAGCCGCCGTTTTGTTTACAATTGTTTGTAGGTGAGGCTCCAAGGTTGCAAAAGGAGCGAAACCTATTTGAAGGGCCGCCATTTGTTGAAATAGTGTCTACCTTCCCTGAGTCCTGAACGACCCATGTGTGCATCCGTTCATCGTGTCGAGGGAACTTCCCTGTTTGACATTCAAGCTGGTCATCGCCGCAAGACTCCTCGGACCCGCTGCAGCTTACCTGCCCCTTACTTTCCACATCAATACTATCCACGGTTCTTCTCAAGGCATTACTTTGCCTTCTAACTTCGCTCCAATCCTTTGGCTTTTGACACGGAAATAAAATGCGTGCAAGCCAGTGCAGGATGACCTTCCGCATTGTCTTGGGCATGCGTCGCCTGTTGCGATGGTAAAAATTTAGAATAAGCGTGGTGACGGCCAAAGAAGCACCTATCTCCAGCATTATCGCAAAGTAGAACTGTCCAAGAAGGGGAAAGCCATACGACGGCATCAACTCAGAGCTGAGTTGTTGAAATACTGTCATTGCTAACAGAACTGTGATACTCAATCCTATTCGTTCACCGGACTCAGGAGGCAGCACAAAACCAAGGAATATCATGGACGAGATCAGCGAGCAAGGAATGAGCAACTTTAGTATGTAATCCAGTGATTCGCGTCTAATTTTCACCGTGATTGTTATATCCACGAACTCGTGCGGGCAGCACTGGTATTTCAGTGAGTTTCGCTTCACAGAAAGATTCAGCATCTCCCATTCACCGTTCTTGATGTAATATCTGTTGGCAACAGTATCGTTGTTGACAGTCATATCAATCTTGGATCCATCGAAAGCCCACGAACCAAATTTCAACTCACATTCCTGATCATCGAAAGGAAAGTTGGTAACATCCACACTACAGATGCTCCTAAACATGGCTGGGTTTAACCATGTGCATCTGCCATCGTATTGCAGGGCCACGTTATTGGTGTATGTTGTCCTTCCTCCTCCCATTCGATCCTCTTCGTCGATACTGTCACAAAAATACAGAAAAAGAAAGAAAGGGAGTTTCAAGAGGAAATAGATACAAGACAGCTGATCGATATGACACTGGTAAGGGTAACATCGAGCAAGACACAATTCGAACAGTGCATGTCTTCTTCTCCTCGTGCGCGTTCATTTGGAGCGCCTGTCACTCGTGGCCTCTAATGCTACATGATGGAAAACGAGGGCGTCACCGAGAGAAATTGGCCAGCTTCATGGACGGGTACAAACTTACAAAGTAAATAATCGAAAATAATAAATGATTGGTTAATGTCTGCCCTTAGTATGATTGCCTATTCATAACTATTAACACTTGCTCATTCAAAAGATACCAGATTTCTGGTTGTGTAATGCGACGAAATTCATCCTGCCTCAGGAGAAGAAATCATTATCCCTCTAAAACAGCTGTGCATCAATGCAGCTGCTGGGGTGATATGAATGTGCTAATGCGTAAGGGCATACCGAGGGAATGGTGTTGGAGTTTGTGCCTTGGATTTTTAATCAATGAAACAACAGCCTATATACAAAAGCAAGATGCACGCAATCCTCGGTACGCCTCGGTATGACCAGTACCTTACCCATTCCCACAACCATATCACCTGGCAGTAAAAGCCATGAACTCACTCAGCATGGATTAGCCCCAGGCGAAAGAGTCTCACTTAAACACGATTACATACCCATTCTCCCTCTCCTCCGACATGCCGGGGAGGATAAGCTTCGACGTTTGTATGGATATTGATATTACACGCACATCTCCCAAGTATGAAGTCATATCCACTACTCAAAAACAAAAAAATGTCTTACTTGTTGTACAATAGCGTGTCCGGAACCCAAATGCTTTCAGGTGCTATATGAATTTCTTTCACTCCACCATAATCTCTCGGGTCCCATTTCAGTAAGTCGTTATCCCAGTACTATAAAGAAAAATCCAATAAGCTCCAATACGCATTTCAGTTTGCGTTTTCTTCATTGCCAAACTCACATTTTCATCGATGTAGCAATAAAAATTGCCTATCAGAAGGCCCAAGTTTAAAAACGAAAATAGGAAAACATAATAACTTCAATTAACTTAGTATAGAACTATTTTTGGTGGCCCAAACTGTAAGTGAACAATTTAATTAATTAAGTGAAGAATATCAGTCTAAGCTCTAAGCTGTTCTAACGTTGGCCCATATCAGCCTATACTTCCTATGTGTACATACTTTGTGAAATCGTTGTTTGTTATAAGCTGCTTAGTCGCGATAAACGTTATGAAACAATCACAGCCTTTTGACACAAAACAGGACACGCAGCTCCGGGTCCTAAACCCGCGATCAGTGCCAACGGTTAGAAAACGATTTATCAATTTGTTTGTTCCTTGTTGTTGTTTGTTTTTGATAATTCAAAGTTCATTAATTTGCTTATTGGGTCTGAATAACTGGGACATACTAGGCTACGTAAAAACACTTTAAAACACTCTCATAAGGTTTCTAAACACGTCCAACGCTTCTTCCACGGCCGTCTTTACTCAGGATTTTTGTTGTTCGCACTTCCTGATCAGCGGCTTTTATTGTGATATGTATAGTCAATAGATGCCAAAAAGGGACAGATGTTATCAATGTTAACCCCTTTCGATCACAGTATGTCTCTAACAACTGAATTTGATTAACATACCTGATTAACCCACGCGTATGTTGTGATGTGCTGTTTCTTTGCGCTCTGTAAATTCAAAATCATAGCTCTGTTATACACTTACTATAGTTCCATTGGTATCTTAGAGATCCTATTCAGTATCCACGTTGCTGGGACGTGCTATACAGCACGAAGGTTTATGAATCTCTTGCAAAATCTTACCCCGGTACCTGTTTTGCCCCTTTGAAGTTTAAAAAGCTTCAATTGTAGCGAGACAAATTTTCCCGCAATTTTGCGTACGTTCATAGAAGCAGAATTGAGAAGGGTCTTCCCCTAAAATGACCATCTTAAGTATTTTACCTTCCTTAACTAGATTGTCACATTTTGTTTGCAGTATGACAGCCACAAAAAAATCCCAGTGCACAGAATTGTTACAATCTTTCATCGCATTTTTCTAAAAAACCGCCAATCACACGTACTCTTATTGCACGATCGAATTCTTACCACATCAAGAATCCGAATAAGTTGAAAATCAAAAATGATTATCACAGGTCCTGTCCCGGGTAGTTTGGGATGTGCTTGTTTGTTGTAACCTTGGAAGAGCTCAGCGTGTAGGCGAGTTTCATTCATCACAAGTGCCCCAACTAATGAGAAAGAAATGGTTGTATCCGTTACAATAATAATAATAATAATAGCTAAAGCGGTGAAATCACACAATGATGTCGCATTTCATCAATTTAACGTTCTCCGTTCCGCACAAGACACTGCGACTTATTGCTTACTTCTTGCGCATGGCCCTTCGTCCATATCGATTACTTAATAGTAAGAGAGCTTTCATAAGGTTTATATCCACTGTCTCGTAATTTTAACGTGTGTACGCGCGTAAATTTTACGCGCGTAAATAAAATGGAGGCAATGTATGAAAGGGCGAGCGTAAACGCAAAAGCTGAACCAAACTTAACTTTTATTTTTACCCGCGACCGTTTTATTTTTGCCTCAGTATATTGCCTCTTTTTTAGTTACGAACGAAAATTTTACTCGCGTAATCACCTAAAAATTACGCGACAGTGAAAACCCACCTTTTCAGGTAACATCCCCTTATTCTCGCACAACTGCAACATGAATTATTATTGTGCACGCACAACCGAACAACTGAATCTCGATCTGCGTAACTGTGCATTCTTAGTCGTTTAACCATTTCGCCTGGGAAATATTTCTAAGGGCAAGTTTAACCCTTTTTCCACAGACGAATACCAAAATTGAAGTCTAATCGTGGTTTTAATTTTTCTGTAGTGAATTTGTACAACTTCTTGGGTTTAGAGATGTTACGTGGCCAGGAGGAGGATCAAGCGGTCATCCCACAAAGTCAGTCAAGTGTACTGAGAGAAGGACCTTCGGTGTTTCGTCCTTAAGATAGCCATCGTAGCTGGGGGAATTGTTTCTGCGCTTGATCGTGGGATTTCATAGCGTCTCCTCCCCATTCTCTCTTTCTATGAGGTCTAACCAGCACTTGTGCATTTCAATGACAGTGATTCCTTTTACAATGAACAATGACAACGATAACTGATGGAATGATAACAGACACTTATGAAAATGGTTGGTAGAACCAGACAAGCAATATGTCCTGTTTTGTCCACCCACGTTGTCAAATATTCTATAACTGGGAGACCCAAAAAGTCGTGGAAGCAACGGAGAAAAAACTACAGGACTTAGGATTTATGCCTTGAGCTGAGGTCTCCATTGCTTCAAATAGGACATTTTATTACTACTGTTTCTTTCTCGGAGATATTTATAACTTTTACAGCTAACTCCGAGGTAATGTAAACAGGTATATGTACGTCTGTTGTAACGACTTAAAATTCACTGTGTATCAGTAAGTTGAAACAAACGCGGCCACTGTGGAAAACGTCTGCCATTATGAGACAGTAAAAAAGGTGATAACATGACTAGAAAATAAAAAAGAGAGAATAATTTAGAATGAGAAAAAAAGTTACTCAGGACTTACCTGTAAACTGAAAGAAAGTGGCAAAGAGCTGCACAGCAATAAAATTCATTGTGTTTAATTTGTTTGCAATCAGGGCGCCTTCTGGTTGTTTTGCGTTCAAGTCATGCACCTAAAAATGACCGAAAATGTTTATTGACCAAGATAGTGAATTAGAAATTCAAGATAGCTGAACTTGGCTTGATGCTGCTACAAAAACGCATCCAATTATAAAAACAGACTTAAATTACAGTAATCACTTCCTATAAACATGAATACAAATAAAGACCGCGGAAGGGGTTAATAGCACTTTTAGCATAAAGTGTTTTTCCATAAGCTTAAACATTGACTGTGCGAAAACAGGTTCAGTCGTCTATAATTAATTGTTTCATTGTTTGGTGGTTACAAATAGTTATTCTTTTCTAAAGTGAAGAAGATTTCTTTTCCAAAACCAACGCATCTTGTCTAAAACTCGGACTTTCTCTTGAACCAACATGCTTTCGTTGGAGTTCATGAATTTACCCACGCAATATTAAAATAGTCACGTAGGCGTATTATTTTAAACTCCAGAGCACCTTTTTTCCAACTTGTCTTGTCTAATCCCAATTAGCATTTGATGGCAATCAGAAAAAGTCTAGACTTCAAAAACCAATTTGAAATTGAGAAGTTTCTTTTGAAAATTTCATAAGCATTCCACCTTAAGCAGCCAAGAAAGTGCATGTGTGAAAAGGAATTTACTCAGTTCCTGCACATCAGAGTTTTTTCTTTTGTAATTATCAAAATAAATAAACTTCCTGGCCTTCCTTGTAAATTCAGAGACAGGCTAAAACAAGGATGATGAAAGCAGGTATTATACTTCTCTTGCATTTTGTTCGTTATAGTTTTCATGGCGATATTAGTTATCCTGCACGCTTCCTAGTAGAATAAATGCCCGTTTGAGCTATTGAATTTCCCGGGTGAATTTCGAGTCGAGTAGTCGAATATGTCGAATTAATCAGTGTTCTAATGAACAAAATTTTAGCTTAACTACGTTAGATTCGGCATATGTGAAGTAAGGTACTAGTTCGGCGTCTGAAGTGGACCTTTGTGTTGCTAGTTACACTATATGAACTTACATGAAACTGACATGTCGCTGAAAAAAAAAAAAGAATTAAAAAACAATATAAAGCATGTATTCCATGTATGTAAATACACAAAATCACTTTATAGCTGGTGCTATGAAAAACCACTCTCGCTTTCACAAAAACCTAATACGTGAGACCTTAATCAAAGCCTGCTACACCCTCCTGCTGTTATGATTCAGTATTCAACACATGGTTTTTGAGCATTCTTTAAAAACTGTGATTGTCTGAACTAGTTTGAATTTAGAAGGAGCAATGACCCACAGCATCCCCGCCCGCTCCTTTTAAGGAAGACATACAATCCCTGAGTCGGCAAACTCAGAGTTCTGAGGATGTGCCGCAGGGACCCTGAAACCCTTAGTCACCCTATACTAGACTAAACTCCCCAAATTCCCCCCAACTTAGAGTAGCTTTTAGGCTAAGTTGCGTGAATTTAAAATTGCCGATTTGATTTTTTATATTTTTGAGTGGACGTTCCCGGTTTCCCTAGTCTAAACCAAAATCTTCAACCAATTGATCAGTTTCCTGGAAAATAATACCCTATTCTAGACCCAAACGCTCTGATTTATATACCCTATCGTAGAGTAAATTAAACTGCTTGAAAACCATACCCTTCACAGCGGCACATACCTATATAGCCCATATATGGCAGTACCCCTCCCCCCGGGATGAATCATGATTGGAAACCTTTGATGAGATCTTTTATGACCTCTTCGACCGGCGTTTAATGTACACAGACTATTGATTCCGAGGTGATGATGTTTAGTCTTTACTTCGGACTTGACCACTTTTCAATTGTTCCCTATTCACTGGGTATTTGCGATTATCAGTGGACAGTTACAAGTTAAGCTTTTTTTACACTTTAAGTTAGTTTTGAGTGTAGGTAGCTGAAGTTAATGGAAACTTAAAGGATAATTAAAAGAAAGGAAAAAACTTTTATCAGCTAACAGATTCACACACACTGGATGGGCACACGTTTGCCTCCCCTTTCCCCCACCCGCCACGCCCTCAACAAAATTTCCTTGATCTCAACCTGACTTAGCCCGTGATCAGGCTCTCTGTTTTGGGGAAAGGGTGAAAAAATCGCGAGGAGAGGGAAGGGAAAGGGTTCCCTCTCCTCGGGAGTTTTTCACCCTTTCCCCAAACAGAGAACCTGTTCACAGGCTAAACCTGACTGAACCGGTATTCGTAAAGAGGCTGTGACGTCTCTCTCTATTTTCCTCTTTATGTTTCGTGTATCACAACCCTATAATATGTAATTTAATTATTGTAACTACTAAGATCGTTTAGGTTTTTGCTATTCTGAGTAGTTTTTTGTCTGATATATTTTAATTTATTCTGTTCTTTGAAAGCGTTTTTTGAGTTAACAAATAAATGTTTGGTTGCAGGAGCCCATCAAATGTTGTTGTTAGTTTGTTTTGTTATACTGCCAATTGCACGTCCTTATTCGCAATGGAATGAAACCTAATGGAGCGATGAAATTACTTGCCTATAGCAAATCCACAGCTTTCGTCAAAGAACTATGTCTTTCAAGCATTACATCAAGAGTTAAAAACAAAACAAAACAAAAAAAAACTAAAATCTATATTATGATCGCAATCAATTCCAAAAGATTCCCTTTTAAGATGAAATTTCAAATTAAATGTTATAATTACATTTATGGCCAGGTTTTGTTTACAGTTTTGGTCTGGCTACGGGCCATCATATTACTAAAATCATGTGCAAAACGAAACGTCCTCAAATCAAGAAAAATTAGAAAATAGTCTCCATAATACTACAGCGGGAAAAGAATTTACTGGAGATTTGCGCATCATCGCGTTTACCTCCTAAACTGCACACTGTTCCAGCCTCCCACCCCCCTCCCAAAATAATGATAATAATAATAATAAAATATATATATAAAAAAAACATCAACATACACTGTAGATGTCATTATTACCTATATAGAAAAGACGTTTTCACTATGAACTTCATGCTATACAGAATGGCAATATTTTCCGGGGTTTAGTGACTCAAATTACGATCGGCATATAATTTTCTACCGTACGAGACATCTTCAAAAGCAATTCTTTTACATTCAATTATGATAGTTCACAGCACGGCGATTTCTCAACTGAGCGATATCATTTCAAATAATAAAGAAAAACTGTGGCTACCTTAAATTGCTGGGCGCACATCTGATCTGCAATGTGGTGCTTGGAACGTGCGGCGAACGTAGAATTAGCTTCAAGGCTTCAGTGATTCAGATACCCTTAGTCTTGCCTTATCTAACAAATTTCAGAAGATTTGATTGTCCTACAGTACACATTTACAAACAATTTAATGTAGGTAGTTAATCAATCTTTCATAAAGAAGACCTTATGGGTGCTTGAAAAAAAAAACCCTGCTGTCATTGTCGATAGATATCTATTTTGTCCGTCGGTTTCGTGCTGCTTATATGGGAAATATAATCATGCCTGAAATTAGCCAATCATGGCACAAGTTGATACAAATCCTTGTCAACTGCGAATAATTTTGCACGTAAGCACTTTTATTTACAAATCAGTCGACTATAGGAATCACTTTGAACAGCCTACTATATTTACGACAGC